GACTGGCGAGAAAGAACAATCACCACACCAGGATTCTACTCAGATCACGCTTTACTGGAGTGCCCTTGATTGATGGGGAGCAGGAAGCGAGAGGGGCAGGAAACAAGGGGCAGGAAGGGAAGGGCAGGAAGCGAGGGGCGAGGGCACTGAGGCAGCTGCTTAAATAGGGAATTGGCACATGGGTCGCCCTGTGATTGGCTGCTACCAACAGCTGACACCAGACTGCATCGGGATAGGCTCAAGGACCCTTATCCACCGTGCATGCAGGAAGCGGGGGACACGCCGCTCTCAAAGGCATAGCCAAATACGGAGTTGTTTATTTCCAACAAGACAGGATGTTGGTGCCATCTTGTAATGGCGATCCTGTCCGGCTCCCTGCAGTCTGCAAGGAAGAAAACACAAACTGAGGACCAGCTGGATATCACAGAGACCCTTTGCCATGCAGTGCTTCATCCGAGAACACTGACTATGTAGCCTGAGTGACAGTCTGGACCCCATAGATTCCCCTTTTAAGATTCTGCCTTCTGCTTATGAAGACAATGTCCACCCCCACCCACTGTCATGTTGGAACTTCAGTTCTTTTGAAGACAGATGTATCCAATTCAGACTGGCGTTCAAAGACTGTCCAGTTCTCTGAAGAGTCGGGGGACCAGGTTTTTAATTCCTGGGTGGGCATGTTGGAGCGTCTCACTGACTACAGGATGGCTGGGGACAGCAAACATTCCTGCTGTGGTTCATATCGTCCTAAGTTCAGGGGGACATTTCTAAGAGATGAAAGGGAAGATCAAGGTGGGAGGAGGAGCCCAGGAGACTCCAAGAAGGGCCTCCCTGCTCTCGGAAGCTCTGTTGGCTCAAATATGCTTCACAGATGATATTGAGAAACTGTTGGTTCCAGCTGTGTCCTGAGGAGACAATGGGGAATAAGGCATGTTCTGCCTTTGAGTGGCTTGAAATTTAGTCAAAGAGTCACATTCTAAACTACAAACAGCATGGAATATTCAAGCAATGATTTGGTGGTTGCCGACACACTGGGCAGGTGGTTAGTTTATTGCTGAAAATACTCTTTGTCCTTCAAACCCTAACCTATCCTTTAAAAACATTTCAAGAGCCACAGAGGTGCAGATGGGTATATGGTTCAGTCAGTCAAAACCTTGCCTTTCAAACACAAGAACCCCAAGCCACATAAAAAAAATACCAGGCATTGTAGCTTGCGCTTATCACCCCACTACTGGAGAGGTAACACGTATGAGGAGCAATATGTGGGATCTGAAGTTTGCCTAGCAATATGGCTAAAAGTGTAAAAATACTTGCTGCCAAATGTGACATCTGAGATGGATTCACCAGGTCCCACATGGTTGAAGTAGAACAGAGTTTTTCTCTGAGCTCCACATATGCACTGTGACACACTCAAAAAGTAATAATAATAACAATGATAAATAACAATAATAAATGAAGTCACAGTTGGGTTGGTGAGATGATGGCTTAGAACAGTGGTTTTCGACCTTCCTAATGCTGGAATTTTTAACACAGTTCCTCACGTTGTGGTGACCCCCAATCATAAAAAAAACTAATTAGCTTTAGTTTTGCTGCTGTTAGAAATCATAATGTAAATGTATGATGTGATGGATATCTGTATGCCACCCAGGGTTTCACAACCCACATGTTGAGAACCACTGGCTTAGAGGGTAATTGCATTTGTCATTGATTCTGATAACCTGAGTTCAATCTCCAGGACTTACATGGAGAGAAAAAATTCCAGCAATCTGCACGCTCATGCCATGTTTCACTTTGGCACACACAAATGACAGATAGATAGATAGATAGATAGATAGATGATAGAAGCTAGATGGATGATGATAGATAGATAGATGATAGAAGCTAGATGGATGATGATAGATAGATAGATAGATAGATAGATGATAGAAGCTAGATGGATGATGATAGATAGATAGATGATAGAAGATAGATAGATAGATAGATAGATAGATAGACAGATAGATAGATAGATTGATCTAGGGGTTGAATGCAGGTCCTTGTACTTCAAAGGCAAGCTTGTTACTGACTGAGCCTCACACCCATCCCTACCTCTGTGACTCTCGAAATTTTTTTTTACCATAAGATGAAACCCAACATTTAGCTAGGCCCAAAAGCCATCGACTCCAGGTACCTCTTTAGCCCTCTTTCCCCTCACCATATAATCTAATCACAGAGAGGAAGTTTAGGTACAGCCTGTGCTGTGATTGCCCATGTGTTGCCTGCCACATATGTTATTCTTTCTACTGAAGATACTCTCCTTGTCCATTGCACACAGATGTATTGATTGAGCATGTATTTGTGCACAATTGCTCTGCTTCAGATAGGTTCTTGACAGTTGACAGTGGGTGTGGGAAGTAAACTTGGAGAAGGTCCCATGGTCTCTTTGCCCAGACACCAGCACCCTTGTGTAATCTACCACTGAGTGTGGGCATAGCCTGTGACCTGCTTCCTGACAAAGGCTGACAACAAAGGTGAGGGGGTGTCTCCCCAAGACGATGCTATAAAGGATGGTGACACTCATCTGGCACCCTCTCTTTCCCTGATTCTTCTGGACTTCCCACCATGAGGAAGCAAGCCACCTGCTATGCTTTAAGTTGCCAAAAAGCAACGGACGTAGCCTTCCTTCAACTCCAGAAATTCAACTCTGCCAACAACCACATGGCTCAGGGGAAGGTTCAGATACAATCACAGCTTTAGCCTATGTCTTCATTGTAGCCTTGTGAGAGACCCTGAAGCAATAAGTAAAGTCTGTCTGGGCCTGGACTCCTGATGCATGGAGCCACTGATAATAATAAGTGTATATGGTTATATAGCCTTTGAGAACTAACATGTATGATAAGGAGGGAAGCCTCGTTGTGGCAGAGTCAGGCCAGATGTTTCCTGGGGCATTATGCCTGGTAAAATTTGATGTGTTGCCCTACTGAGATATTGGCACAGACTTGCTGCAGACAACTCAGGCTTTGCGAAACTTGGGGAAGAAGTTTCTACAAGGCAGCACTGAATCCAACACTTTGTTCCAACCCTTACAATCCTTGACAGACACATTGTATGGAATCTTCAGGGATTAAAATGAAGTGGAATAAGCCACTTATATTCCAGTAATGGTTTCAGAGAACCACTGCTGTCCACATTGGCCGAGAGAGTCGGAGCAAGGACTTGGCGAGCCAGAGACAAGATGTTCAGAGGAGTGTCATAGAGTCCGCGAAGAAAAAAGCTCTGTTTTCCACTAAATGTGTTTTTGGGGGCTGAAAAATATGAAGATAAATGAAGCAATTACTGGTGGCCTCTTTTCTTTCCGCTCTGGTTTGTCTCTGACATTTAGCCCAAGGGATCCATCACGGAGTGCTCTGCTTGCTGGAGCACATGCAACTGGCTTTAAAGGAAACCACAGCCTAGCGGAGGCTAAATATTTTCTTCCTTGATGTACTTTGGGACTTCCAGAACATACTGAGATTAGTTCTGCAAATCATGTTTAACTAATATTTTAACATGATAATTAAGATTTATAGAGACTGCTAGTGTTTGAATTCGCCTCCAAGTGGTGCATCAGAGGCTGAAGTTGTGCTGTGAGGTTTCTCCCAGCTGTGCACTGCCTTGGTCTGTTTTATATATTAGGGTTCTGGGTAAGATTGTATTGGGGAAGCATAAAATGAGGCAGCATGAAAATAATAGTGAGAGGGGCAAGGGAGACGGCTTAACAGGTCGAAGTACTTGTGCATGCATGAGGACCTGAGTTCAAATCCCCAGAACCCATGTAAAAATATCTAGACCTGTAGAGAGATAGATACATGGGAATTTCTGGGGCATGCTCACTTTCAGGCAAGCTCCAGGTACTCTGAGAAATCTTGTCTCAAGACTGATAGAACAGCTCAGTCGTCTTCAAAGAGGCTCCCATGGACAGGTGATGGGAACAGATACAGAAACTCACAGCCAAACATCAGGAAGAGAGAGAGCCCAAATTGGAGATCTCTGTCGGGTCTCTTCTCTTGAAGCTTGGGGAAACCCATGGAAGAGGAGAAGGAAGAAATATAGGGGCCAGACAGGTCAAGGATACCAGAAGAACAGAGGAGAACATGGCCCACAAACTTCAACTAAGTAGGGCTTACAGGGGTTTGCAGAGACTGAAGCAGCAATCATGGAGCCTGCATGGGTCTGTGCTAGGTTCTCTGAGTACATGCTAGGGCTGTTAGCTTGGTTTTTTCAGGGAACCCCTAACAGTGGAAGTAGAGGTGTCTTTGATGTTTATCTGCTCTTGGAACTCTTTTTCTCCTAGTGGGGTGCCACACTTGGTCTTTATATGAGGGTTTGTGTCTAGTCTTATTGCATCTTGTTAAGCCATGTTTAGGGGATATTCCTAGGAGGGCTGCTCTTTTTCTGAAGGAAAGTAGCGGAGGGACGGAAGGAATGGTGGAAATGGAGGGAGGGGAAACTACAGTTAGGATGTATTGGGAGAAAACCTGAGACAAAAGGACGAGTGGTAGAGCATTGGGCTGGGAAGGCGGCTGCATGATTGAGAGCTCTTGCTGTTCTTTCAGAGTTCAGTTCCCAGTGCTTAGGTGGGGACTCACAACTGCCTGCAACTCCAGCTCCAGGCTTTGTCTCTACAAAGCCTCTGTCCTATGTGGGCACCTGTGTGGGGAGCCGTTCCCACATACTCCATTGCAAGATGACGCTGACCATCAGCACCACCACTGTAATCAAGCCAGTGTGCATGTGCATGGTAAATGACAGTTTACCTTGTCAAGCCAGTGCGCATGCACATAGTAGCTTTCCATCCCTTGCTCTCTGCCTCTCCCGTGGCATCATAGGGTTTGACAGGCTGCAGCCAGTCAGAGTTTGACACGTCCGAGGCGAGGACTGTTAAGCTATATAAGGGCCGGGTTTTTGACCCTTGAGGTCTTTGCTCTGTAAGCTTATGCTCTCCCTCTCAAGATGCATAAAGCTTTTCTGCAGAAGGATCCTGAATGTGCCGCGTCATTCTTGCTGGCGAGACGGTAGCGCGGGACATCTGGTGCCGAAATCCCAGGAATCTTAACATCGTCAGCACCGCCGGAGACCCCTTGAACTCAAGGAGGATTCAGAACTACAGGTGAGTACGTTCAGAGAGGCATGTCTTTTTTGGATTACAGATTGGACCTTTCATCGCCCTGAAGAGTAGCGTGGAAACCTTAGTGATCTTCTGAGAGCGCTTTTGATCATCGTTTTGGGACCACCATTATAACTGTTAGGTACGGTAAGTCCGACATAGATAAGCGGCAGTACCTTACTGTGCGCTTCAGTCTCTTGTAGATAAAAGAGCCGCACGCAGATACTTTCGTTTTCGGATACTTTCGTTTTCGCAGCACTTGTAAGACGGACGTAGATAAGCCGCGGGTGCCTGCTTGTCATCATGGGCTCCTCGCAGTCTGTTATCACAGCACTAGAGTCAGTGTTAAAACAAAGAGACATAAAAACTGCCCATCGGACGCAAAAGAGATTGATCGAGTGGCTCCCTGGTATGTTTGCTCCGGATCGTTGACTCTTGCCTCGTGGAACAAACTAGGTAAAGACCTCGATAAAAAACTAATTGAGGGAGACTTAAGGCAAGGAACAAAGGCCATTTGGAAGTTGGTTAAACACTGTCTGGAGGATGAAGCTTGCAAGGCTATAGTGGCAGAGGGAAGAAACGTCCTAGAAGAAGTCCAGGACAGTATGTCAGAAACTGAACGTACTGAGAAGTTGGGTGCGCACAGAAAAAAATTAGCCCCTATTAAGGAAAAAGACCTCCCTGGTAAGTCTAAGGATGAGGGGATGAATACTTCGGACCCTAAAGGTCCACAATGCACCATGATAAAAAAAAGTTAAGGGGAATGGCTCTAGCCGGTACCCTCTGCAGGAACTTAAGGCTTTAAGTATAGATAGCTCTAATGACTCTGATAGCTCTGGGGGTGAAGATTTAGACCCCCAGAAAGAAGATGAACTAGATGAGGAAGCAGCCAGATATGAGAAGGAGAGATGTTATCCCGATGATCGCTTACAAAGCGACAAAGGACAGCTTTACACAGCTTCTTCACAGGTGGTTCCTTCGGCACCCCCTCCTTATGAGATGCACCCAAGGGCCTTTTCCTTCCTTCCTGAGAAGGTAAAGAGAAAATTGCACTTGGCCTACCCCATCTTTGAAGACGTGGAAGGAGGACGGGTGCACGCACCTGTGGAATATAGCCAAATAAAAGAATTGGCGGAATCGGTTAGAAAATATGGCGTTACCGCTAATTTTACCCTAGCCCAATTAGACAGATTGGGTATGACTGCCATGACCCCGGCTGACTGGCAAACGGTCACCAAAGCATCACTTGTTAGTATGGGTCAATATATGGAATGGAAAGCCCTTTGGTATGAAGCGGCCCAGGAGCAAGCCAGAGCCAATGCCATGGCTCTGACTCCAGAACAACAACAATGGACGTTCGATCTCCTAACTGGCCAAGGGCGTTTTACTGCTAATCAGACTGATTATCATTGGGGTGCATATCGACAGATTGCTGACACGGCCATTAGGGCATGGAAAGCACTCTCTAGAAAAGGAGAAGCGAATAATCAGCTCACTAAGATCATTCAGGGCGTACAAGAACCTTTTTCAGACTTTGTGGCGCGAATGACAGAGGCAGCAGGACGTATCTTTGGCGATCCTGAAACGGCCACGCCTTTTATCGAACAGCTCATTTTTGAACAAGCCACCCAGGAATGTCGCACAGCCATAGCCCCCAGAAAAAGTAAGGGACTACAGGATTGGCTTAGAATTTACAGAGAGTTGGGAGGTCCCCTCACCAATTGGGCTGGCCGCTGCTATCTTACAAAAACCCCCCTATAAGGAACCAGATAAAAGGGTCTGTTTTAACTGTGGCAAGCCAGGACATTTAAAGAAAGATTGTAGACTGTCAGAAAAGGAGAGGGCTCCCTCTACCCTCTGTTCTAGGTGTGGTAAAGGCTACCACAAGGCTGAACTATGCCATTCAGTGAGGGATATAAAAGGCAGAATTCTTCCTCCATTAAGGGCACCTGTTACTGAGGAATCAAAAAATGGGGCAGAGGGCCCCCGGTTCCAGAACCCACAAAAATATGGGAACAGGTTCATCAAAATGACCGAAGAGGTCTCTCTAGGGATGGAGCAAGAATGGACTTGTGTGCCTCCTCCGACTTCATACTGATGCCCCAAATGGGAGTACAGCCCATCCCTGTTCGGGTGCTTGGGTTTTTACCCCAAGGAAGTGTGGGCCTTATCCTGGGGCAAGGATCGCTTACCTTACAGGGACTTATTGTCCACCCTGGTATTATTAATAACCAACATACTTCTGAAATTCAAGCATTGTGCTCCAGTCCAAATGGAGTCTTTTCTATTAGCAAAGGAGACAGAATAGCTCAGCTACTACTCCTTCTGGGTGAAGCCCATCAAAAACCAGGAGATAGACAGATGGGATCCTCAGGTCAGGACTCGGCCTATTTGGTTGTCAGTCTTCAGGACTGACCAAAACTATCCCTCTGGGTTAATGGCAAGCACTTTGAAGGGATTCTGGACACTGGAGCGGACAAGAGCATAATTTCCTCCCACTGGTGGTCAAAATCTTGGCCAATCACTGAGGCATCACATTCACTACAAGGTTTAGGATATAATGCTCACCCAACCATTAGCTCCTCGGTCCTTATCTGGAGAACCATGGAGGGACAACCAGGACGGTTTACCCCGTATGTGCTCCCCCTGCCGGTTAACCTATGGGGAAGGGATGTTATGCAAGACATTGGATTAACATTGTCTAATGAATATTCACTACAAGCTACTGATATAATGAGAAAGATGGGGTACGAAGCAGGAAAAGGGCTGGGTCGCCTAGGACAAGGACAGATAGAGCCGGTAGCGCTCAACCCCAACCAAGAAAGACAGGGCCTGGGTTTTTCCTAGGCGCCACTGGGGCAGCACGACCTATACCATGGAAAACAGAGACTCCAGTGTGGGTTCCCCAGTGGCCACTGACCTCTGAAAAATTGGAAGCGGTGACCAAGCTTATTACAGAACAATTAGCTTTAGGACATATAGAACCATCAACCTCCCCTTGGAATACTCCCATTTTTGTCATTAAAAAGAAGTCAGGAAAATGGCGTTTGCTACATGATTTAAGAGCTATCAATGAGCAAATGCATGCTCTCGGAGCAGTGCAACGGGGGCTCCCCGTACTTTCTGCCCTGCCCAAGAATTGGAGCCTCATAATAATAGATATTAAAGATTGTTTCTTTTCTATTCCATTGTACCCTGCTGATAGACCTCGCTTTGCATTTACTATCCCTTCAGTTAATCACATGGAGCCTGATAAACAATTTCAATGGAAAGTTTTACCCCAGGGTATGACCAACAGTCCTACTATGTGCCAATTGTATGTACAGGAGGCTATAAGACCACTACGAGAGCGTTTTCCACAGTTGCTTATGGTCCATTATATGGACGATGTGCTTATGTGTCACGAGGATTTAAAGGTCCTCGAAAAGGCCTATCCATTACTACTTAAAAACTTACAGCTTTGGGGTCTCCAGATAGCTGCTGAAAAGGTTGAAATTGCTGATACTGGCCAATTTTTAGGCTCCATTGTTCTTCTAGATAAGATCCTCCCACAAAAATTAAAAATTTATAAAAAAGATTTACGAACATTAAATGATTTTCAAAAATTATTAGGAGACATTAATTGGCTACGACCTTTTTTAAAGATTTCCTCCGGTGATTTAAAACCCCTGTTTGACATCTTGGAGGGGGATGTTCATATTACTTCCCCTCGGGCATTGATACCAGCGGCAGAGGCAGCCTTAACACTAGTGGAAAAATCCATTGAGGAGGCACAATTGTGCCGTATTGATGTGACCCAACCATTTTCTCTTTGTGTGTTTAAAACAAGGAAATTGCCCACTGCTGTGTTATGGCAAAATGGACCGTTGCTGTGGATTCATCCACATGCTTCCCCTCAAAAATTATTGACTGGTATCCAGCAGCTATAGCTCAGATTGCCCTTAAAGGACTGAAAACATCTGTTAGTCATTTTGGTAAACATCCAATGGTTATGATCATTCCCTATACTTCCCTTCAGATACAAACATTAGCCGCCACTTCTGATGACTGGGCCATTTTGGTCACCACCTTTTCAGGGAAAATCGATAATCACTACCCCAAACACCCTTTGCTACAGTTTGCTGCATGTCATCCCATTGTGTTTCCCCGGGTAACATCTTCCATCCTGCTAAAAGACGGAATGGTGTATACACAGATGGCTCCAAAAATGGCATGGGAGCTTATGTTATGGGTTCCAAAGTGTTTTTAAAAAATTTCCCTGCCACCTCACCCCAGGTGGTGGAATGCATGGTGGTATTAGAAGTTTTTCAAAAATTTCATTGTCCCCTCAACATCATTTCCAACTCTGCCTATGTGGTTAATGCTGTCAAATTACTTGAGACAGCTGGAATTATAAGAACTACCAGCACAGTGGCATTTCTTTTCCACAAACTGCAAGAATGTTTATTAAACAGAAGAGCTCCATTTTTTTATTACACACATTAGAGCACATTCAGGCCTCCCGGGTCCTATGAGTTCGGGCAATGATTTGGCTGATCGCGCTACACGACTAGCTGCGGTGGCCCTTGCCTCCCCATTACAAGCTGTAAAACTCTTTCATAATAACTTTCATGTTACAGCTGAAACCCTGCGTAGGCGCTTTTCTCTCACTAGAAAGGAGGCTCGTGACATTGTGACCCAGTGTCACAATTGCTGCCAGTTTCTCCCTATTAGACACACTGGGATAAATCCCAGAGGAATTTTGCCTTTACAGGTATGGCAAATGGATGTTACTCATATCACTGCTTTTGGAAGACTTCAATATGTGCATGTGTCAATTGACACATGCTCTGGCATTCTTCATGCCACACCTCTCACAGGAGAAAAGGCTTCTCATGTCATTCAACATTGCCTTGAGGCATGGAGTGCTTGGGGCAAGCCCACATTTTGAAAAACTGATAATGGGCCTGCCTATACCTCTCAAAAGTTTAAGCAATTTTGTTTGCAAATGCAAGTTACACACAATACAGGCCTGCCCTATAATCCTCAGGGACAAGGCATTGTTGAGCGAGCACATCACACACTTAAGTCTTTTCTAATTAAACAAAAAAGAGAAATAATGAAGGAGTTGCCCCCGACGCCAAGAGTGGCCATTGCCACTGCTTTGTTCACTATAAATTTTTTAAATTTGGATGACCATGATCAGACCGCGGCGGACCGACAATGTTCACAGCCACGGCGGCCAAAGGAACTTGTAAAATGGAAAGATGTGTTGACTAATGAATGGAGAGGCCCGGATCCTATTTTAATAAGATCCAGGGGAGCTGTTTGTATTTTTCCACAGAATGAAGAAAATCCTTTCTGGGTCCCTGAACGGCTAACACGAAAAATCTTGGAACGGAAGGATGGCGGGGATCACTCTCATGCTGATCATGTTGACCTTTCTGTTGCCGATGCCGGTGATGTCTTCGCGAGTTGAGAGCCACCATTGTCCAGATCAACTGTACCTGCCTTGATCTGTCCTTCACAGAGGGACTGTCTGCTGTTTCATACTTCAAGGAATGGGTGGGGGTGGAATTATTTGGTGCAGTCATTTGCTGTGGATTGGTGTTACTTCTCTGACTGGTCTGTAAGCTCAAAACCCAAAACAAAAGAGATAAGGTGATGATTGCACAGGCTCTGGTCGCCCTAGAACAAGGGGCTTCCACTGATATTTATGCTCAAGCAATAGGCCACCGACTGAACAGCTCTTGCACACCTGGAACTCAGGTTCACTGCACAAGGTAGAGTGTTCAGCCTGACCTCCCAAGAGGGGTGTTGAGCTAAGGGCATCGCACAGAGAGTGGTTCTCTCTGAGAGACATGTTGTCCTGCATAAGGGTTGCCTGCCTCATTTTCCCTTTCCCAGAAAAAGTGGCAGAGGGCAGGTCGGAAGCATCCTGGGTTCAATGAATCTAGGGATAGATTTCGTACACGTCTTACATATTTTTACATTGGGAAGTACAACCACTGTCTCTACCCTCATAGCCTGGGAAAGCCTGATTGCTTTTAAAAATGAAAAGGGGGAGATGTGGGGAGCTATTCCCACATACTCCATTGCAAGATGACGCTGACCATCAGCACCACCACTGTAATCAAGCCAGTGCGCATGTGCATGGTAAATGACAGTTTACCTTGTCAAGCCAGTGCGCATGCACATAGTAGCTTTCCATCCCTTGCTCTCTGCCTCTCCCGTGGCGTCATAGGGTTTGACAGGCTGCAGCCAGTCAGAGTTTGACACGTCCGAGGCAAGGACTGTTAAGCTATATAAGGGCCGGGTTTTTGACCCTTGAGGTCTTCTCTCTGTAAGCTTATGCTCTCCCTCTCAAGATGCATAAAGCTTTTCTGCAGAAGGATCCTGAATGTGCCGTGTCGTTCTTGCTGGCGAGACGGTAACGCGGGACACACCTGCCCTGCTGTGCACATGCTCACACACCGATACATAATTTATTTTTATTTTTTTAAATGTTTATTTATTTATTATGTATACAATATTCTGTCTATGTGTATGTCTGCAGGCCAGAAGAGGGCACCAGACCCCATTACAGATGGTTTGAACCACCATGTGATTACTGGGAATTGAACTCATTATTTTTGAAAGAGCAGGCAATGCTCTTAACCTCTAAGCCATCTTTCCAGCCCCCGACACATAATTTAAAATGTCTAGGAAACAGAAGAGACATAATGCAAGATACGCAATGTCCTCTGGCATTTGCAGGTTCATCTGCACACACATGCATGCCTATGCCACATACACACACTGAAGAGAAGGAAGAGGAAATAAGAAGATGAGGAGGAAGAAGAAGGAGAGAAAAATTCAAGATGTCTCCTAAAACACCAGCACAAAGCATCTGCAAAAGCTGCCGACCGTCTAAATAAGTCACGTCAGATTCAACTTGCTTCCCTAGATGGAAGTGTGTTTACTGATATAACTTCCTGAGTTCTTACCCTTTTCCAGTTATGTTGGTGGGTTGACTTCAAACATTGTTGTGTCATTTTCTCAATACAAATATAGTCCCTACTCCTAGCATAGGTAAGATGAGCTCCCAGCAGAGGCAACTAAGACATCACGATCTCTATG